AATGTGGCCTTCTTTGGGATGGACTTTAATTTAAACTAGAAGCCCGGCCAGCTGGTACAGTGTTGACCATGCTTCCTGCATTCACTTACCACGTTCAGAGGTGATCAGTGTTTTTCAGTGGGCTAATGACAAACTTTGCTCTGTAAAGAAGCACAGGGTGAGGGCTGCTTTTTTTTTTTTTTTTTTTTCTTTTTTTTGGAGGGGGTAGTCAGGCATGGCAGATGAGATGGCTGATTAGCATACACCAGATTTCACCATTGAACAGCTCTCTTGTCCTGTCCTCTGTTACTCTTTGTCATTTAGAGTGGTCAACTCACGAGACAATCCTGTTCATTTCTAGCATCTGGTACTAAGAGGCTCCCTGGCTGGTATCTGAAAGTACTACCACAATAAGATGGTGATAGAGTTCAGGGAAGGGGACTCTGATTCAAACACACATAAGAACAACAGGGTTCTTCTATCCAGCCCACTTCAGGGGCAAATGCATAATTCAAGGAGCAATTCTAGGACACCAGCAGATGAAAATAAAAGTAACTACCCTGACCCTACTGCAGTCAATGGATGTTTTGCCATAGGCTTCAACAAGGCCAAGTTTTCACCCAAACCGATGCATTTTTATCATTTTCTGTCTTAGGTTTCCAAAGTATTGACAAGCGAGTGAGGAAGGCAGCTCAAAAATTCTGTTCCAAGCACTGCAGAAAAGGGCTTTAGCCTAGTTAATTCCATGAGAAACAGCCTGTGGCTATCTGCATCATGTTTGCCCACTGCAATCATTAAAACAATCCTCCGATACCTTGCCAAACTCTTCAGCAGAATTTGGCCAGTCCCCCACTATTCCAGCAAGTCAATGTAGGCTGTGAGAGTCAGTGTTTGAGAAACAGAGGATCAGGAACAGTTCAATAAATATTTGCACACAATGCAGTTAATCTTTATCGACTCATTAACCACTTCTGTATTGTCTGATGAATGGAGAATAGATCAGACCAGATTCAACTGTTTTCACTATTATGACAGAAGCTTTGGGAGGGAACACCGTCCACAAGCATTGTCAGCCAAGTCAGACAAGCTCTCTAGAAAGGATCTTGCCCAACCCTCCACAATCAATAAGAAGATTAAAATCAAAGATGGAGAACACTTGCCTTGAAGAGCACAGTCTTTCCCAAGGTACATGGCCACATTCCACAGGACTGTACTGCATGGTTTTCTCAGATGCTTCTTTTCTGAGGATAGTTCAAACCACCAGATACAAGCAAAATGGAATCTATAAAATTTAAACAATGCACAAAATCCAATCCTAAATCATATACCCTTAAGTTCCCTCAGTTTACCAAAGCCAGATATATGAAATGTATGAGTGATGTAGTCATGATAGTCCAAAATTACGAGGCAAGAACTTCTTAGGGTGATATCTTTTATTCCATAGTTGATCCAATAAAAGATACGACTAAGAAATCTTTGCCCCTCTCATATTTCTAGAAGGCATGATAATTCAGTTTTCAACTCCTTCTTATACATGTACATTTTAAGAAGAATTAAACAATTAGCAGGTGATTTACTAATGACTGATCACTTCTTAGAGCCCAACAAGCTGCTTATAACCATTTATAACAATTTCCTCTCAGGTAGCTATCTATTACACTTATCCAATGTGTATAACATGCTTATAAACACCAGTACTTAACCATTTATAGACGTACCCTTAATATACAATATGAATGCTTTCATTATCAACTAGCTTGCACTCGTTTGTAAGTTTCTCAAAAAAATCACTTTGGAAACTGAGGGACCCTTCTCCTTAAATCACCATCCAAATATATGTATGTATTTTTTTTTTTAATTAAGCAGAAGTTCTACAGCTGTTGGAGTTTATTTATTTAGCATATGCAGTTTCAGCATATTGTTTCAGACATCTTAAAGTGATGTCATCACCAGTGTGAAGAGCTTGAAGGCCCCCAGGTAGCATAGTAAGTGGATGCAAGTCAGCAGCATGCAACATGGTTTGAACTTGTCCACAAGGGCATTTGTTGTCATTGCAAAGGCCCCATTAGTAACAGTTTGAGGCACAGTGATCCTGTCCAGTTTGAAAGCAGTTAAGAAGTGGCCAATAATGGCATGGGGTGTAGATTGCAGCCGTGTCAGTCTAAAGACATAGCAGACAAGGTTCTTTGGGTAAATCCAATATCTTTTATTAAACCAACTCAAATAATGGCATGGCCAGTTAAATCCTGGTTAATGTTGGAGTTGAGGCAATTCGATGCAAAACATAAAATTTCACTTTTTTACTTAAAAAATAGGTCAATATAAAACACAGCAAATTTAGCAACTACATCTCCTTCTGTCAGGAGCAGCAGCATCAATAGAATATGAAAATAACCATCCTGAAGATAAAGGATGATTAAGAATCCTTGAAAATTTGCACTCTGAGTGCATGCCTACGTTGTTATGGCACATATTTCTGGTAAAATGCGTTCAAGTGCAGAGGAGCTATCACATTGCTCTGTTTCCGGTTATTTTGAAAGTGTTGCAGGGGTATTTCCCTTACAGAGGAAGTTTTATGGGACAGAAGAGGGAGTCTTTTGCTCTCACCTCCTCCAATGAGCAGGTGCAGCAGTGAGCTCACTCTGGAAATGGTCTAATTCTGGAATTGCACATTGTTATTTCCAGAGACAAGGCTCCATTGTGCCAGTCTTGCACCACACATGTATTTTGTATAAATCTATAATATACAGATAGGAAGGCACATTCCCTGGCTTAAAGAACTGACAACATAAATAAACTTGACAAAGGGATGAGGGAAACTAAGGGTGATCATTCCCACTTTACAGATGGAGAACTGCAAGACAGTTCAGCACCTTGTCTATGAAGTCTGTGGCAGGGCAGTCAGCCCAAGCCTTTTGAATCCAAGTCCACAGAACAGGGCAAGTACCTTGGTGGCTAATTTAGAGCCCCATGCTACCATAGTCATAGTACCCAGGCTTGCCAGGGCTTAGCTGCAGACAAGAGCAGATCCAAGGGGAATAAAGTGATGCAGTTGCACCCCTTTTTCTTTCCTGGTCCACCCAAAGTTTAAACTGGCAGTGACAGCAGCACTTCTATTGAGGCAGCAGGGAGGCAGATCACTTGACTTCATAGCTCATTATTATCTGCTTGATTCCTTCTAAACTCTTCATTCCACAAGTGTTAAGGACCCTCCCGCCTTTTTTAACGATCGTAATGTTTCACCAGTTAAGATATTCTTTCTTCTGCAAATCTGTTGTCTGGTAGCTGCTCCTGGTAATGTAATTCCTATTTTATAGCCCTGCAGACTGTTTTTAACTCTAGCTAAAAACATTAACTCAGGTGAACATTCACTCAGGTATGGAAATAACTTCCAGTGAACTGGAAATGCACAGGGCAGCATGTTGTCAAGATGCTCAAGGAGGCTTGATTTTGATTTATAAATCTGAAAGAGATGTACATTTAATTCTAATGACTATAGGAATAAAGAAAACATATTTTGATTAATTTCGTCTAAGTTGTTCTGTTTTATAACATGTGTGATATAGCAAATTAACGTACTTGCTAATAAAAGTTATATTTGTTTTGATCTCAATTTGAATAAGATAGCCCCAGACCTTTAGCTTAATGGTAAAGCTCCTAGTTTCTTTTTATCTGGAGAAAAATATATATTGTGTTATATGCAATGATGTACCACATCATATGCACCCCCCTTTTCAAAATCTTAAATCCATCCATGGCTCCAGATACAACAGGCACCCAAATATAGACAGACACTTGGTGCGGATTTTGATTGCTGTTTCACAAAGCGTCAAAAAACAGGTTGCATTCTTTACGCAAGACAGACAGGGTAAAACACGTGGAAGAGTTATTTCTGCTCATTCAGCCCATCTGACTGCACACACACACAGGCTATTGATCTGCATGTTAGAGAGTCATTTTTTACCCAGTCGTTTTTCAGACCAGAGTCTCACCTGAAGAGCTTAAAACAGAAGAGCCTGGAAATTAAAGCCATGATCAACGTTTACTTCTCAGTTAGTTAAAATGCCCCAGTACTTGATGTTTCCGTAGCACTGCAGGACTTTAGCATGAGCCAGAAGCTTTATCAACTGTTGCTGGCTCCACACCCTTTTTTCCACAGCAAGAGCACCTTTGCAAAGGGACATGACCTTGTAGTGAAAACAAACAAAAAGACAGAAGTACTGCGTACTCCACTTACATGCAAACCTTGCTTAACAGTGTAACAAAACACCAATCTCAATTTTTTGCCTACTGCTTACATTGTAACAAACATCAATCATCTCTGTATTGGTTATGGGCATAAGTCACTTAAGGGCATAGCATCCCTTAGACCCAGTCTACTTTGGAATGTAACTGTACTCTGTTTAACAGCAAAAAAATTGGGGTCAAAAACAGAGAAGGAGAAACAGCTGTCAGAGGGTGACCATTAAGAGTCTTGAAGTTGATGGAAACTAGCTGGTTTCACCACTGATCTCTCCCCTCATTTGCAAGACTTCTAATAAATGGCCCAGATACTATCTCCTGTCACTTCCAAAGCATCTAATAGTAGCCATACTGATTACTTCCCATCATTTTTGAGGCTTCTAATAGCAACTCCAAAACTAAATTTTAGAAGCCCTGAAAACGAAAGGAGTTAGTCAGTCTTGGGGTAGCTAATACCACACAGCAGAAACAGCAGTGTGTACTGAAGGAGTTTTGCTTATATTAAGTTTGGAAGCTCTGGGTAAGTATATTGGCTTTATATGGACCTGAGGCTATGCATTTAGAGCACACTCTCTCTTTTATAAGGACTTTAAGCATGATTCTTCACTGCCTCAAAGAGTCCTTAACACCTGTGCCAAGTGGTTGAATACTCCCCACCAAGATAGAGTGCCTGGGCTATAAATCGAATGTATCCATTTCCCTGCAGGAAACTGAAACCACCCTACAAGAGCCAGCTGGGACGACTCTGGAGTTGCCTCATTCTTCTCATTCTCCTCTTCATGATGCTTCAAATTGTGGAGAAGCTACAATCTCCCAGGTAGGTTCCACATAAAACACAAGATGCTCCCCCCCTCAGAACTTTTTAGGGGTCAGTTTAAGGCAGGATCTGTCCAAATGCTGCCACAAAAACCACCAAAAAAAGTTACCTTCTTCAGTTCAATCCAAATTCTCAAGTCCATTCCTTTTAGCTGGGCCCAGGCCCCTTTGGGGTCACCTTTCAAGTACATCCCAGTGAATGGCAGGCAGCAACATTTGACAAAAAGGTGAAGCCTACACATTGAAGAATATGAATCTCACATTTGATCTAGGCATTTATACACATCCTTTTTTTCACCCTAAACACGCCGGAGATCCACCACTTCAAAGCAGACTCAATTAATCAAGTCTGTTCTGCACATGAGCCAAGGTGAACTGTGCTGTGCTGCATGCAGTTGTATAAGTGGCAAAATGCAGGTCAGAACACAGAAAATGGTGGTGGTACGCTTTGAACTAAAGCACCTCTGAGGTATTTTAGTCCAAAAGTGCGCCGCCACCATTTTCTCAGCACTGACATGCATTTCACCACTTATACAACTGCACACATCAGTGCTGGGTGCTTTGCATGTGCACGTGTAAAAATGCCCCTGATTTTCAGAGCTACATGCTCACTCAAGAAACAGAAGCAAGGCATTTGGGCTTATTTGTCCAGTGCAAACTGCTTGAATTGCAAATACCAGACACATGCAACAAACCAGTTGTAAACAAGCTACAGACCAAGCATTTCACACAGATCTGAAGAAATCATGACTCTTCAAGCAATTTACAAAGAGAAAAAACCCATTAACTTATTCACCTGGCTCTTCTTACTGCTTCGCACATTTGAGCCATACACATTTCAGGATACACAGTGTCATGATATCCACACTCCCCAAATCACTCACAGCTTCTAAACACAGTAAGATTCTTCATATCACAGACATTTGGCATTTCCCCACTAGATTGTGACTAAGATCTAATCCCATATCATAGTAAACAATAGAGTGAGTCTATAAGGCCAGATGAAAAGAGAAAAGCTTGGGTAACCTGATAAAGAATGTCTTGCATTCCAAAGCTCATCTAACTCTATCCCAGCTTCGTAGTTGATCTGATAAAAAATATCATTGAAAGAAATTCCCGCCTCTCACATAATTGCTCTGCCAACATGGCTACATCATTCCTAAACTACCACAAAGTTTAAGGGCAGAAGGGAATGATGAGATCATCAAGGCTGACTTCTTGTGCATCACAAGCCATGCAGGCTAGTTCTCAGGGCTAGGGACAGACATTTAAAAAGCTTGAGACTAAATTGATTCAATTATTGCAGGTTAGTCTAACCTGCCTAGGTTGAACTGGTTTGCAAGTGCACAGACATTCCCCCTGGACTAAGGATATGCAGGCACAAGCTGCAGTGGTTCAGGCTAGAAGCCAGGGAGCACTAGAGCATCCCTCCCTTCCCTTCTATGGTGCTGAGCAGGGGGGGGGCCTGCCTAGGCCCCAGCACAACTTAGGGAGGGTTTAAACCAGTTTCTGATCACTTGAACCGGTTTGTGTGCAATGTCTGTCCCTAGCCCAGGAGTCTAAACAGTGCTACAGACAGGAAACAGGAGAAATGAAGGTTCCACCAGTGCCTTTGTTCATCCTGTAGTATCTAGGTAGAAGTCTTACTTGGAGGTTATGGAAGCTGTGAAGTCTAGATTGGTTTAGATCCCTCGTCAGAGGATAGTAAATAGAGGTGGAAGTTTAACAGTTGTAGCTGAGAAATAACTGGAAGCTTGTCTATGGCTGTAAGATATTTCAAACAGGGGAGGTGACATATACTATGAATCTATACATGGGTTTGACAACTTGCAATGGGTTTCAGTAAGATTAGAGAGAACATTCTGGTATGTTCTTATAGAACACATATCCAAAAAAGGTCTCCACATTAACATTTTCCCTTCTACAGCAATTGCAGGTGTGATGAGAAACTCAAGAGACAAACTCTCCAGCAAACCATAGGCAATGAGACCTCATTCCAGTCTGAGAAGGGACCAAACTGCAACCAGACTCCCAACCTCCCGGCAAGTGATATCCCACAAAACAGTCAGAAGAAAGCTGTGTCCAACCTCGGATCAACTGAGAACATGCTACACATACTGAAACTGAGACAGGCTTTTGGCAAAACAAAACTACTGGACAAAAGCTTAGACAGCCAAGAAGGATTTTGGAAGAAACACCAAGAAGAAAATGGCAAGAAGCCATGGACCAGTCATGCATCCAAGAAACTGAAATCCCAGCCCCTGGTATCCAAAAGGGCACCAAAGAGCGGTCATGTGGGTAGGACTGGGATTCCTCAAAGCAGGAAGCCCAGGACTACTCAAAAGGCTGCAGAGCCCTTCAGCAAGAAACCAGCATTTACAAACAGGGTTGCTGTAAATGAGCAAACTGCAAAGGCATCATCTGCACAAGCTAGGTCATTACAAGGCCAGCCCCTAACAACAAGCTCCCACAGCCTGGGAAAAGACAGTGCATTTACACTAGCTGCAATACCTATCCGCAAAACACCCAGGGTCTCAAAGGCAAAGGAGCCACCTAAGACTGCACCATTAAGGATGGAGAGGGAATCATCCCCAAGCAAGATAGCAGCCCCTCAAGCAGGAGGAGCAGTTGAAGATACAAAGGGAGACAACTGGCAGATAGTGGGCAACTCTTCTGATGAGGCAGCCTGCAAGCCCAAAACCCACATTGTTTTCCTGAAGGTACACAAGAGCGCCAGTAGCACTGTTATGAACATCCTGTTCCGCTTTGGCGAGACGCGCAACCTCACATTCGCCTTCCCATTCGATGGTGCCAGTCAGCTGTTTTATCCCCACTACTTCACTGCAGAGTTTGTAGAGGGATTTGTTGCTGGGCAAGCTTTTCAGTTTAACATCCTGTGCCACCACATGCGGTTCCTGCCGACAGAGGTAAGGAACAAATCTCCAAGAACTCAGTGAGAAAATAAGCAGGGAAAGAGGGAAGACAGTATTGAGGTGTAGGCAGGACAGCTCTCTGGGCTGATGAAGATGAGCTGATCCATACTGAAACTAGAGGTATGTCACTGTCCCCTGACACCTGCTGGCAGCTAGTTCTCACACATCAGACCTGGAGAGCCTGCCTCATAGTGATCCAGGTTTGAGGCTATGTTCTGCTGCTGGGAGAGAGAGGTTTCAGAGGCAAACAAGGCTGAAATGATCAAGCTTAGCACCATTATTTGGTGCTGTTCAGGAAAGTTCAAGTAGTGCACCCACAACACAAGCCTACCATCCCAGCTGGCATCAACACCCACAGACAGGGAGAGCAAGCTGCCCCTCCCCATTTGGCATTGAGTCTTCCAGCTTAAGCCTGGCATGTCAGCAGAGCTATATGGGGAGACTTCCATTGCTGCTATCCATTTTGTCACTGATCTGTAAGCAAATACAGGACACTCCAGTTTCCACCACTGCCAGCAGGGCCCCCCGTCACAAGCACAACCCTGGACCTGGGTATCAGCATATTCAGCAGTTGCTCAATAGGCCTTAAAACCCTTTTTCCAAAGCAGTCTAATCCCCAGCACCATATGGACAGGACTTGTTGTCTTTCTCTCAGTCTCCAATACACTACTGATTTCAAGTTAACCCTTCTGTAGAGATGGCAGTATATACTACAGTGGAAGAGTAGGCTTCTCTCTCCTTTTTTCCACTCCTTTGAGTCTTCTTTCTCCCAATCCCACCTCCAGGTGCAAAGAGTGATGCCCAGCACCACCTTCTACTTTGCCATCCTGAGGAATCCCGTCCATCTCATGGAGTCATCCTTCACCTACTACAAAGGGACTTCTGCCTTCTTCCACACCAAGAGCCTGGAGGAGTTCCTCCAACAGCCATCCAGGTTCTACAAGGCTGGAGAATCTGACAGCCAATATGCTAAGAACCTCATGACTTTTGACTTCGGCTTCAATCACAATGGGGAGGCATCTGCCAAGCATGTGCAGCTCATGCTGCAAGCCATCAAGACAGCGTTCAACCTTATCCTGATCTCAGAGTACTTTGATGAGTCCATGGTGCTGTTAAAGGAGGCACTGTGCTGGGACCTGGACAGCATAGTCTCCTTCCCGCTCAATAGCAGAGATGGAAGCACCCGAGCACCCCTTCCAGACTTCACTGTGGAGAAGATAAAGAACTGGAACAAGCTGGACTGGGAAATCTACATACATTTCAACCAAACCTTCTGGGAAAAGATTGACCGAGACATAGGCCGGGAGCGCATGGGCCAGGAAGTGAGAGCACTGCAGAAAAGACGGGAGCAGCTGGTGAGGACCTGCCTGCAAGAAGGAGATAGTGTAGCACCTGAAGAAATCAAGGACCAGTCCCTGCTGCCGCTACAGTATGGCCAAGCCAGAATCCTAGGCTATAACCTGAAGCCAGGGCTGGACAAGAAGACAGAACAGATGTGCCGGCGCCTCATAACTCCTGAGCTTCAGTACAGCAGGTCTCTGTATAGCAGACAGTTTCCTCAGAAAGCCCTGAAGGGCCACAAACCAGCTCCTCTGCCCAGAAAGCACAACAGGAGGACAGTATGAGGTAGGCAAAGCTTACGCACCTGCCAAGCCTGAGGCAACATAATACCTGCTCCCGGCCCCGCCTTGCAAGTTCTCCACACTGGGTAGAACCAGACAGTGAAGCTCAGCACCCAAGAGATCCCTTATTTCCCACATTTGCGGGGAGTTACTTATCCTCATCATCACCAGGATAAGGAGAAACGAGCAGGTCACCAGCCTTGATGCAGCTGCCTTGTATGCTAAAAGACACCACTTCAACTTGCCTGATTAAATTCAAGGATGTAAAATCAGAGGCTATTTCATAAAATTTGGGCTCAAACATTTTTAAAAGGAAGTAATTCAGAACAGCAAGGACTGTAAGAGAGGGCAAGGTCTCCAAACCCACTGGTTCCAGGTTACGTGTACTTTATGAACTACCAGTATTCATTATTACCATATTACCTCTGAACCTAGAACTGGACCAGACCCTCACCATGTCTATACAGAACACACCACAGAACAAAGAGATAGTTTATGCTCCTAGGAGCTTACAATTGGTTAGGTGAGACACAGCAGGTGGATGCAGACATGGTTTAAGTCGCACATTGCTGGCATAGATTTCTGGCTCCATGGCTCCCGCT